CCCTAATATATATATATATATATATATATATGTATATACATGGTGGTGTTTATTTCCTCCCCTAGTAATGCTGCTGCCTTGTCTCCCACAGTAGTGTTTGTTAATGGGAGGAAACATGGTGGCCTGACCCAGAACTGTCACCATTAACCTTGAGACAGTTCTCGTTGCCCATGGTGGGTGAGGGGTTGTCACTCCCTAATACATCTAGAGACAAAGAAGATTTGCAAATGCTATTTCATCTATTTAACTATTTAAATAATATGCAAATATAATACTGTCATATTTTGGGATTTTACCAGTGTTTTCTCCAGCCACCAAGTCCAGTCTCTGTTTTTCACCTCGTCCAGGCCCAGACTGATCTGCAGTTCATCTTCTGGACTCAGTCGCAGGGATTTATGGAGCAGCTTGAGCTGCCATTCTGTGCCAGATTTTCTGCTACTCTTTAGTGGTAACTTGGCTTCTCTATGCAATTTCTTAGATCTTTTGACTTCTCGTGGCTAATGATATTCTCTCCCTGTTTCCAGTCTGTCTCAGTTTGGGTCCAGGTTATATCACTTACCTGCTTGGTTCACCTGTTCACTCAACACTGCTCTTCTTCTCTCCGCCGCACTGGTCTAAGCTCGGTCACTGTTTCATTACTCACCTGTCTGCCCTCCTGGACCCTGTCTCCCGCTGGAATCGGAGAGAGCAATTGTTGGAGCTGAGAGAGTCTAGCAGTTGCTTCCCCTCCCTGAAAATCACTCTACTCTGCTCAAGTAAGCAAAGTCCACCACCTCCAATCAGTGTAACTGGAAGGTTTTCCCCTGGACCAGTGACACCAACTCTATTTCCCTCTCTCCTAGCCCCCTCCTTGTGAATCCTGTTCTGTTTCCCTGGGTGGGTCTGCCTTTGAGTTCCATTGAGTGCTCATGGCTGTTTCAGCCTTGTGACAAACTTGTGTGAGGTGTTTGACACTTAGGAAATGAAAAACAGGAAGAAACCTCCAGCAGAACCAGGCTCAGGAAGAACTGTCATCTGCTTTGACCGATTGGGTTAAGAAGACAGGATAAAGACATGATGTGGAAGAGAGACAGAGATTAATATGATACAGTGCAGAGAGGTCTATTAACACATA